CTGGAATCTATTCTTACGAAACTATTATTTCTACAATCAGAACAGATGATTTGGTATCTGCTCTTGAAGTACCTACTGGATTTACTGTCAATACAAGGTGAAATACTTTCATAGATTACTGTCACTTCCTTACTTTTATCTATATATTCGCCAAGTAAAATAAACAAATAATCATAAAACCCACTTAGAAGAATTAAAATTTAATAAATATTTTTAATGCTTTAATTTTAAGTGCTGGTACTAAGAGAGTATTATTGAATCGATGCCAACTATATTTAGAATGGGTCGGTCACTCACTGTATGGACAGAGTATTTTAAGGTAGAAAAAATATGTTTTTTTTTTATCAAAACAATCGTCATAGAGACACAATGGTTTTAGAAACATTTCAAATTAAGGATATGTCTTCATATGGGCTAAAATATGTTTGTGCGTGCAGTATTGGAGAATATGTTTAGACGAAATTTGATTTACAGCGAAAGGACACCTTCAATTTCATCACTTGGAGTACGACATGCAAATAGAAGTTCTTTAGGTATATTTATATCGAACGTAAATACAAACAGTAAATATTGACAGCGTTTGATATGCTACGACACACGAGCATAAATACTGTTTTCATTCGATTATTTGTACAAAATAAGTAATTCTTGATTTGAATAGGACCCATAAAATCGCAAATAATCTTACTATAAACAATCCTAGAGAAAATATTTATACAGCAACGCACATAAGCATGCATTCCCAACTAATGATGTTTATTTCAAGTGCTTATTCTTAAGAAGTCACAGTGCACTTTGGTATTATCAGCTGTTAAGTGGACTGACAAAATTATTGCTCTAATTTATTTTTAGACACACGCAGGCATAAAAATACGTTCGAATAACAGAATATACTCGGGAGAGACCTTTGATAATACCATTCTCGGTTCAAATCAATGTCTAAGAAGGTAAGGTAATACACAAAAAAATGTCTTCCGCATTTCAGTCGATTTTCCAAAAAAATCAGTCATGAAATCACTTACTGTATGGCCAGCCTTAGTCCATCCATAGTAGTCGGTGGAAATAGTCGCACCTCTACGAAGTCTGTGTGGTTGGCGAGCAGTTAAACACTTGTAAACAAAAGCGATGTTTTGTGCCAGCATTTAAACCCGCGAACCTAGCAGTCTCGACGAACTTCTGAGTTTGGCGAAACGGCGAGCACTAGGAAGCCACTCGGGGAAGGCGACCTGCGAGACCGGCGACGTTGCCGCATTTCCAACCGACCGAATACGCTTCGATTGTTTATCAAATGTTGGAAAGTCACAGAAAAAACAGATAATCTAAGAAACAAACGAAATACTGAATTTACAGCCGTAGATTCTATTACCTTCCTAATCTGAAAAAATACAGGGTGTGCTATATAACATTTCCATCAGCGTTTCTTTATAAACTAAAGAAACGTAATTTAAATCGGTACTAGTCATAGGCGGAGAACAGCAAAGTGTTCAACTTGGCATAAATGCATGGTGATTCATCCAACCCATCCAAAAAAATTTGGGAATAGATGCGTAATGAAAAATGGAGTCAATATCGTAAAAAATCATTATACAGGGTGTCCCGAAATTCATGCAACAACATTTGGTCATAGATTCTTAATACAAATTTAGGGGACCCGTATTTTTTCTTTTTGACAACTGGCCCCCTCTTTCGGAGTTACAGCCCCCTGAAATCTGCCCCTAAGAAGTCTTTTTTATCTCAAAACCATGTTGTACGAGAATCACTAAATTTGGTACACAGGGGTTTTATGACATGTGGAATCTCACAGTGTTACGCTTTTTGGCGAGAAACCCCCTTAAGACACTTTTTAGTGGGCCCCCTTGCTTTGGAACCTCAAAAATTTGGTCGCAAATTTGATTTTTTTTTAATTATTAGCTAGAAAGCCATTGAATTTAGAAACTTTTTTGTTTCGTAAAAGGCAATATTTTTGAGGAAAATGGCGAATCACGATATGCATTCGATCACATTTTGACATTTTTCACGAAAACATTGCATTTTACGAAAAAAGTATAAAGAGACCAAACATTTCTAAATTTAATGGCTTTCTAGTGGACTGATAATTTTTAAGAAATTTAAATATGCGACCAAATTTTTTTGGCTCCAGACAAAGGGGGCCACGAAAAATTGTCTTAAGGGGGTTCCCCGCCAAAAAACGGTGCACCATCAGATTCCACATGTCATAAAACCTCTGTGTACCAAATTTAGTGATTCTCGTACAACAGGNCCGTACTCGGGACTTTTTCGCCGTGTTCGAAAAACGGCACAGAAGCGGAAAATGTTTTTTTTGTGACTGGATTTCCTGATTAATTGAATCGTAAACAAATAACTGGATACTTGATTGTAGTGTCGCTTTTTCCATAAGGTTGTTGGGTAAAAGGTTAAATAACCAGTTTTTGCAAAATTCTTCATTGAGGTTTTTCTTAATATTTACATTTTTACTATGTACAGTAGGGTAGCCCATAAAAAACGAATATTTTTTTTTGTGTCTCGAGAAAATATGTTAGTTTTTCATGTTTTAAGAGCCCTTCAAAAAAGCAGCTCAAAAAAAATTTTTTTTAGGGGTCGCTCAAGATTTTTAAAAATTTTCAAAATCGTGAAAAATTTAATTTTTTTTTTAAATTTATTTTATCATTTTATGGGTTGAAAAAAAATCTCGATCCTGAAAATTTCGAATCGATATTTTAATTTCTAAAAACTTGAAAAATAGTGTACCTAAAATGTTTTCGAGCGACCTCTAAAAATAAATATCAACGAACTAATAATTTTTTTTATTGAATTTGATGAACAAAAGAATAGAAATAAATCACGACACTTAAAAAATTTCTCGAGGCAAAATTTACTACCGCACTGTGAGTATCAAATATTTATAATTTTTTATTTTTTTTAAATTTCTCGTGATTTATTTCTATTCTTTTGTTCATCAAATTCAATAAAAAAAATTATTAGTACGTTGATATTTATTTTTAGAGGTCGCTCAAAAACATGAAAAAAAAACATGTTTGAAAGTTAAAATAATTATGAGTGACCTTTAGAAATTAAAATATCGATTTGAAATTTTCAGAATCGAGATTTTTTTCAACTTAGAAAATGACAAAATAACGAGAAAAAAATTAAATTTTTGACGAACATGATAAACTAACATATTTTCACAAGAGACAGGAAAAAAATCGTTTTTTTGGGCCACCCTATTCTGTACATTCAAATTTTTTTCAATTAGTTCTGAATCACCCTGTATATTTTTTATGTTTACACTTATAGATGGTGTAATGCAAAGAAATTTTTCGATTCCCGAAAGAAAAAATTTGCTATTCACTTATGTATCTTTTTCAACATAAATTTTTTCTATTTTTTTTAATATTTCAAGTAATAAAATAAATACTATTAAAGACCAATAACAATCCGTCATGCACCTTCCGTTTCAATCAATCAGTTAAGTACAACTTTGTCAAAAAATAATAAATAAAAATCAAGTTAACAAAATAAAATGCCTGGTTCAAAAAATTTAGTTCTTAATGTTTGCGGATTTTTATACATCAAATATACAAATAAAAATAATAATCTTATATCGAGTTAAATCCGTTACTCACTAGCACCGTTTTAAATCTCTCTTTTAGTTGTGTGTTATGTGACATAACGTGTATCTACAGGGTGTTGCGGAAATAATTGCAGAGAGAGATAAAACAGACAAAAATAAATCAATTCTTCTCTATGGAGCATTGGTCTATCGTCTATTGTTTTTGAGATACAGGGTGCTCAATATGTCTCAGTTACATTTTTTGACAACTTTTTTGAGGTTCTTTACAGTGTATATCTCGTATTACAATGTAAAACTTCATTGTATACAAAAAATGTATTCTTAAAATCTGCTTAAATGATTCTTAAAAAGTTAAAAACCACCGAAAACACACCGTTTTTGAGAAAAACGCAATTGACTGTCCCAAAGCAACTAGCTTCTGTTCATCACAATTTTATAAGGGAACAAAATTGTAATAAGGTAAATTGATCTAATTCGATTTATTTTCATCTAAAGCTGCCTTTGAAATATCGCCCATTCGTTAGCGAACACTCTGTACGTGGTGGTTGATTTTGGGACAGCCATATAAGTATTTCTCAACTACGGTGCGTTTTTAGTGATTTTAATAAGGGTAACTCTTTTCTGTAAAATGAAATTTTACTTGGTATACAAGATACAGATTATAAAAAACCTAACCTCAGAAAAGTTACTATAAACTGACATTAAACCAGGTAAAAGGTAACACCCTCTAGCAGGTAGTCAAAAACTAACAAATCTAAGGTAATAAGTTTGTCCTAAACCTTACCTGGACTAAACTTCAATCCTATACAATATTTTTTAGAAAATATATGAGTAAAATTTGATTTTATAGAAAACAAAAGAAAAAATTGTTTTATTTTTTTAATTTACTTTTTTATGTAGTTTGAGCTTTCTGTACTCATTTCCGCACCACCCTATACATGAAGGACACAATTCTGAAAATTGATACTTTTCTGTCACTGCGGCAACGTCGCTCGACTGTCAGCTGTTCGGTAAATAATGCACTTTTACGCATGAGCCTTTTGCACTTACATGCAGTTTGAGCCAAGCCCGGGTAAGCAAATGAAACTGAAGACATCTGCCGAAGAATGTGCTCAACACTGCACTTCGGCTTTTGCACGAACAAAATTATGCCGGTCGTCCTTTTCAGCGACCAGTGTGCGACGAAAACAAAAGCAGAGATGAAAATTTAACATCTAACATCTAAGCCAGAGGTATTGCGATTGTAGGCCAGCACGAGTGACATTATGTAACATGTTACATAAATACGGTACTTTCTTCTAACTTTTAAGGAGATAAACGGATAAAAGTTCATAATTTTCTTGACAAATTGGTTACTAACGTGATGGTGTAACATAGGAGACTTTGGAATATGAAATTGAATACAAAAAAAAAAAAACAAAAAACTTACAGTCTCGAGCAGCAGAACATGCAGAGGCGGTGAGAACCAATTTGTCCTTTTTGGCCTTATCACATTTCAAACGGCGCCAGGAGTTGATAAACCTGGCTATCGCGGTCGTAGTCGGCAGGCGCAGGAACAAAAGAACCAATGCGCGGCCACTGAAAAAGACAAAAGAATCGTTTTAACACTTAATACAATACAGGTTGCTTTGTAAATATGTAGTTACAGTGTTAAATTGATGAAAACAGTAATTTTTTTCAAATTCTCTAACGTAACGTGGATGATGAAATATTTAAATTCATTTAACGTGTATATTGATGTTATTTTAAAGTATTACTAATTTCATTGTGGCATATTCTGTAGACTTTAAAACATACGCTGCCGTGAAAGGGCAATACAAGTGGGTCTACCCAAACGTCAAATTCAAATTCTTTGTCACAACAAAGCCAACATGAAAGCGTAACAAAAAATCGCTAAGTCGTCCCCGCACATCGCCAGATGCTAAGCACACCCCTACCCAAAAGGTTAAAGTGAAAAAGGGCATCAACTTACGATACAACACCGGATTCCCTTTGTTTTGGTGCACAAAACCTTCAGCTGTGTTTTGGTCCGACAGCAACTATGCTGAGGAAAACCGAGCAGCTGAGCTATGATACAAAATTAATATTTCCCGACCTGCTTTCTCCTGCCCATTCATCCTTCCACCCCCCGAAAGCATAATGGGGCACAAAGACCGAAGCGAAAGCTACCGAAGGGTGGCTCTTTGTTTGAAATATAAAGTAAAAATAAATATGAATCAGAGACATTTATAACTAACTTTAAAACAAGTATCTTGCAGGGACATAATTTTTAAACAAGTACAACCCTTAGCTGTTGCACAGGGTGTCCCACAATCCAGTGTACACTATAAATTTGTAGACTGGGAATCCAAAATTGTTACTTGATATATCTAGTGGGCTGGAATATAAAATTTCCGTACAGTGTCGGACCAAATATTTTTGGTTTGGCTCCATGTTGCTTAATGAGATACACAGGGTGTCCTGTTCATATTTCAAAAAAACTTGTGTGCAACGTTTTTTTCTTAGATGCCCTGTTTTCGAGATACAGTGTGTTGAAGTTGTCACTTTCCAAATGGTTTTCCTTAATCATCTTTAAATCGGCTAAAGATAAAAATTTCAAAATCTGTACACGAGTAAACATCAACTGTGCGTTAAGAATAATGTGCAAACGGTTTCTTTCTGAAAAGCAGTGCCGCCGATACAGGTAATTGAAACAGAAGCAGGAAAGTCCACTTGATTGGCACATTGCCGTAAAAACCATCTGCAAAAAACGCACGCAGCGAACCGTGTCACCTTTTGCAACAGGCCGTAACATGTTCGTTGTTACGTTACGGAACATTGCCACAAGTGGATACCTGCCTTTAAGATGCGATGTACGGTACGAGATGAGGTTCCTACTTGCCGACCACGTCCTTATCCTCGAGAAATAACACTTCCCGTATCTCGCAGCAGCTGAACGCACTGTAGGATTGTATTTGCACATGGGGATGGTGGGTGACGTTGTGGCCATCGTTCCCGGTATAGTTCTTCCGAAGTCAGTTGAACATGCATAACAAAACCGAGCAATCAAATTTAATGAGTTTCATGGGCGTCCCTAAAAAGTTTTATGCTAAAGGTAGAAAATTATAATAATTGTATATAATGTGTAGAAAATTTCTATTATATGTTTATTTGACCAACAACATATTTTAATTATTTATGTCCTCAAACAATTTTATTATATTGACGGTAAATTTCGTTTTGTTCCATTTCAAAAGGTCTCCAAAATGCCATGTTGTAATAATATTGGTAAACCAAATATCCCTCTTATTTTTTCCTTTTGCAATTGTAATATGAATAATTAATAGAAGGGTGCCTGTAATAAATTAAAATTTCTGAATCACACCAAATTCCGCATTCGCGCACTGCACTGCTAGGCGACTAGTCGACAACTGAATTTTGACAATGCAATGGACCAGAGAAACAGTGCGCATTGCTCTTTGCTCGCACGCTCGTTCTTGAACTGAGCGTATACATTTCTACCACCTGCACTTTTCGTTCGACCAGATCTGTATATGAGTATGGCTAAATAATTGTAGGAACAAGTTTTTCAAATATTTCAATGCCGAGTTGCTGCTTAGCGACAGAGCCTGGTACATACCATACCTTGAAGATATTGCTTCTTCAATTGACTTCGGAAAAACTATACAACCTAGTCGCCGCGAGTGCATTTTCTCCGGCTGCACCATACACTAACACCTTATCGACACGTTCGGAAATAGTAAATGCATTGTTATCTCGGTTCATTGTAAAACTAGTTTATGCACAAACTAAAAAATAACTAAGCAACTAAGAAATAAGAATCTCGTTTTTAATGTAATCGACACGTTATTCTTATTTTTTACTTCTTTATAAAAATTACACTGTCACTATCGTGGAATTACAAAGAAAAAAACTTTTGTCTGGAATCGTTCACTTTTTAACACTGATGGGTCGATGGGCGATGCTTAATATTTAATAATTAAGTGAATAATGAAATCAATACAAATACAATCAGTTGACTACACAAATTTTTTGACAATGTAACCTAACTTTTTAGTATTACTAGTATTAGATTATACCGACTTAAATTATAAGGTTGCATCTCGGGTCGCATAAAAACATTTCCAAAGTTTTTAATAAATATGTGTTATTTATCGTTGGCCTTCATTTTCATTGAATAAATGAACTTTAATTTACAAAAAGACTTTTCTATTACAAATATCACCAGGAAGCTGTAGTTTTAATTTTTATAGATTATACACGCCACACCCTGTATACATAAAAATGTATTTATTTAAAATGTTAGACCGTACAAAGTGACGATTCACTTTTAACTTGAGTCGCATTAAAAATGGCAAATGGCAAAAAGGGCAAAATGTTATTTGTTTTAATTTAACAACAGTCGTTCTTGTTAAATATGGTGAATATATCCACATTAATTTTCTATCTAAATCACATTTACAAAAAACTAGCCCTTGATTTTAGAAATGAAAAACATTACGATAAACCGATTCAATGCTATACGTTTTTGTTACACAATCTGGGTGAGCTCACTTCATCCATTAAATTGAAATTAATTATCAGTTAAATGGAATAATTTAGACTTTTTGATATGTTAATTTTGACTACTTAGCTGTGCAAACAAACTCAGTTATTATTCTGTTGTTCTAACTTTTTTAACATATTCAGGGAAAATAATCACTGGTAGGTAATTGAGAAATTGAGCTAGTTATGACATGGATAAAAACATTTAACCAAATTTTCATTACATTGTATTACTAGCAGAAGAAAATTCCCGTAATTTTACCAGAAAAAAAGCTCTCAAGTATGGAATATCACTGTTCGCAATTATTCTCTAGGTTAGGATACGGCTAGTCTTCACTCCTTAGATTCTCAAGGCTAGAGACACGAGCAACAGCTGTAGGATTTAAAACGCACGATTTAGCATCTATAGTGATACAAAGACATGAGGGCATAGCTGTTGCTCGTGTCTCTAGCCTTTGTATGAATCTGAAGCCTCGACCCCCTACTATGGCCGTACCCTTATTCGTTAATTCGCAAAACGAATCTCCCACTCACCATATAAACAAAGAAAACACAATAGTTGGTAGTAATTTCCGGCAATGGAGCTTTGGAATTGCACTTTTTCCCAAAAATGCATTGCTTACCTTTATGCAAATTTTTATTTAACAAATTCTTGTATTCGAATGACTTATCAAGCCATCATCACCATTAATTAAAACGATTAATAAGACGAAAAGATAGAGACTAAACCCCTAAATGGTCTGCCAAATAGTCAACTTTTATAACATTTAAAGTTACACTTCTAGAGATTTATAAGTTATTACGTTACCCCTGGGTTTAGAAACAGCTTTACTGTAAACGTCTAAGAGAGGTCAATAACAACTAAACACTCGGTATAGTACATATTCAGAAAAACTGAACTATTCAAAGTGTTTATGTGCATTTAAACTAATGAATACAAAGGACCCCGCAATAATCTTATGGAAATTGGGTTTCTGTCAAATTGTCTGAATTTTTGATATGTTGTAGATTTTGTCATCCTGAACAAAAGTCTCCATGGGCACAAAGTGCCAAAATGAACATTTTGGCAGCTACAGAGCTGCCAAAGCTCCCCTGACCCGTTGCAAAACTATTCATTTTCAATACTATTTACAGATGTCAAAAGCATATTTTAATTATTCTAATATATAGGGTAATGTTTTTGAGGTCACTGGATTCAACCCTCATGTCAGATTGGACAAATTGACCGTTGACAGCTGTCAATACACTGTCAACGAAGAATAGAAAAGTAAATATTCTCTTTTCACATTGAGAGTTTGGGCTTTTGAGGGAGCTGAATTCAATTCTCATGCCAGATTGGCAAAATTCAACTGAGCTTCGTGCCATTCCGAGAATACCAAAGTGTAAAAAGTAACAGATAATATCGCTGACCATTTTCCCAAAAATCTACCTCGGTCAACATGACGTTCACACCTACAAACGTCCGTTGAGATTGACGTGATAAGGGAGGCGTCTGAAAATCCCGTTTGCCTCTGCCAGCGAGTAGAAAACGATAGTCCTAGCACCGCATGTAATCTTTTCAGGACTCTGGACATAATTCTCAGGAATCTGACCATAACTCCGTTGAAAATATAGATAAACACCTGAAATTTTGGAGTGCACCATAAAGCAGTGGGGCCAAAGGATATCGCCGGTCTATCCATATTGCTTGTTTATTTTTTTCAAAAAGTCGACAGCGTTCAGAAATCAGTTCTACTTGTTTTGTCAATGAATCCAGGCTGATAAAATGAGCTTCCGCGACAATTTATTTAAAATACCATTAATTCTAATGGAGGAAGAAGAGAAGGCAGAAGAAATGCTACCAGAGTTGACACCTTTTCAATTTCAAAATATGGGACGCTGAATATAAGGTTGTACGTAAATCTTCCACGTGCAAATCAAGACATTTTTAAGTGAAAGGGAAGAAGTTAAAAAATCACAGTACTACACACATTTGAAAAAAAAACTTATAGAAAGCAAACATTAACACAAAAAAAATAATGTCAAAACTTTCTATAAAATAAAGAAAAAAAAAGTTCAAAGCCTACTGAATCATTAACAAACACACTTTTTTGCTTGCCGCAAAGTGGCAACAAACGCGTGGGTCAATCGAGGGCCTGCACATACATACGCGGTAATGTAAGTGGTGGTGGTAGCTATGGCGGTGGCGTTTTAATGTAACGTATAGAAACAAATGGGTCAAAGTCAAAACTGTCAAAAGTCAAAACATACGTGTCGCTTGTGAGCGGTCTTTGTAGCGTTCTACAATGCGGTAGCGGTAAGATGCGTCTTGTTGTGTTTGACCACCATTACCGCACGCTATCAATATTTTTGAATAGGGCTAGTGACGATAATTTCACGGAAAAACTTATAGACTGTGTAAAAAACACGATGTATTGTATGATTTGTCTCATCCTCATTATAAAAATATTCGTGTTAAAAATAAAGCATGGGATGAAATAGCAAAGATCCTCAATAAAGAGCAAAATTTCAATTTTAGCATTAATTTTTAAAAAAACTTCAATTTCAGCATTCATATTAAACGGTAATAGGCCGTTTGGTGATGATTTTATAAAAATGGACACAGGCTATCGCAAATGTCACCGCGTTAATATGTTTTATTTCAAATAACGCCACCGCCATGCGCCATCGCTACCGCCACCGCTACATTACCGCGTATGTATGTGCAGGCCTTTAATTGTTTTAGTTTAGCTCAAGCAAACGAATATGGAAGTTTGCATTCATCAAGACAAAGATATAGGACTTTTAAGGTCCTATATGAACCTATGTAGAAATACGGAATCCTGAATGCTTCCAGTCGGCACGAAGAGTTCAGTTTTTAAACAGCTGCGTCCCAATCAAACCTTGTTATTTCTTGACTTCTATAATAGCACTACAGTAGTACCTACTACCCACTTTATTTAATAACATTGGAAGAAGGTTAATACGCTTACAATATTGATAAAATTGAGGATAATTTCTTCATAATTTTAGCTGGATGTTATACTAGATTGTAATTTTAACAATATACAAATATAGAGTATGCTCGACTCATAAACTCTATCTCTAACAGACTATATTTGTGGAAAAATATAAGTATAATTCGAAGTATAATCAAATTGTGTCAAACACCAAACATGTATATCCAGTTACAAATTATGAATATTTTATTTCTTGACGCGTTCTAAATCTGGATTATATTCATGAATACCGCCAATTTATTTATTCTGTGTAACCTTCAAATTCTATTTAGATTAACTACGAAAAAAGTTTTCTGCTCGCCATTTCGTAACCCATAGTGTATACACACATAAGACAAACAGGAAATCTATTTTTGAAGAAATCATGTCGCAATACCAGTGTGTGTTCGTATGTTTGCATTCTGAAGTTTTCTTTCTCCCATCATCTTTTGTTTGCATTCAACATACTTGTTTTAGTTGAAATTCACATAACACTTCTTCATTCATTCTTCATTTACCTACTTATACAGAATATTTTCCCAGATATATAGTAAACAGGAATGAGGAACTATTTCTTAATTACCGACAAGAATTTAAACGTAAAACTATTTCTACCTAACAAGAAAATTATTAACTGAAACTCCCAATCTAATGTCGCAATTACGATCAGGATGTTATTAATTTTCATATAAATCATGTTGAATATTAAAATTTAATATATGGAAGTAAGTGATAATGTGTCATGTCTCGGGTCGCCTCCAGAGATGGGAGACGGGAGGGAGGTGCCCATATTCATAATTTTGTAAGTGGGCTAACAATTTCATGTACTTATATAATCATTAATTGTTATTGGTTTCCTATGCGCAGAATATTTATCTGCCTTAATTATAATATGTATGATTTAATTTACAATAATTATAACATAACAAATGAATAAATTAATAATAAAAAAAACGAAATGTTTAATATTTAAAATAGTACGACCATCATTAGATAATTGTGAAAAGTAGCCACTAAGACCTAAACAGGTTTAAAAACGTAATTTTAATTAGTTAGAACAAATTTCCAAGTTTAACATTTATGAGAAAACGGTGAATTCAGAATGTTACCATACATATGATTTCTACCCCCTACATGAATTCACCCAAAATAAATAGCTAAAATTTGTGTCTACAATTCAGATTAATTTTATATGTAGAAAAGCAAAAAATGTAAATAAGAAAGTGCAACTTACGTTGTATTTGTTACCGCAGCATCTTATATAATCGCTTTAGCAATCTTTTGAGTTTTGAGTCTATAAATTTGCACTAAATACTACCACACGTCTTCAAAAATCGTCAAAAAACTAAATAAATAACAAATATGAACCATGTGGGATTTATTTGACAGATCACTGTATCCAACAGCGCAAATAGAACTTGTGAACGATAATATAAATATTTCCAACATTAATCTATATCGTTATTAATATTTTTAATCATTCATTCAAAAGGACTTTATAATATAAAATTTTTTAATTTAATTTTAATTAGTTAATTAGTTTCTCAATTTTCATTTATTTCCTAAACTGTGGCAGTACTGATAAAAACATATGTTCTATGTCAGTGTCAGTTGCTGGGTTGTCAAAATTCTAAACTTAACCTGACTTTCGAGGTACACGTCAATCGTTTTCAAATAAAATTTTTTCAAAACAGTATTGTTGGTTAATAGTGTAAAATAAAATTATAAATCTGGCATCAACTTACAAAATGAGAAGAGCTCATGCAGGCAACTATTATGAGCCTTTACCTCAAAATTCGAATGAAGTTGAGGAAGAAAATGATAGAATGACTAATGAACTTCAGGAGAAAATTGGTGTTTTGAAATCATTATCTATAGACATAGGTAATGAGGTGAAATATCAGGATAAACTTCTGAGAGATGTAGATGATGACATGGACAGAACAGGCGGCTTTCTAGGGACGACTATGAATAAAGTTTTAAGATTATCGAGAGGGTCACATAATTATTATATTTTGTATTTGTTTCTCTTTTCAATATTTGTATTTTTCATCTTATATCTAGTTATTAAGTTTAGGTAAGTTGCATAAGGCTTTTGTAGATGTGTGATTGTATATTAAAATTAAAAATAATATAATTGGGACTTTGTCTTACTGTTAATGTACCGTTTATATTTTATAAGATTAATATATTCATTTTCAAACTGATTTTGTTTAGTTACTTTAGCCAGTATGAAATTATCATCAGCTTTAATTGATATAGACTAATTTAAAAAAGATCCAATTATTTTTATTTAAAGAAATAAATGCACACAATTAATGTCTATTTAATGAACTATGTATTTTAAATACCGCACTACAACACATTTATAAATTTAAATCCATATTCTTGAAACCTCTATCAGCATAATCACGTGGCTCGCTTCTATCAGAAAGTTTAGGGTAATCAGGATCTCCTTCAACGACAGCTGTTCGTGACTGAACAACTTTCCAGCCACCCTTACGAGTCCAATCGTTTGCGCAGTACTTAAAATAATATGTGAACCAATACGCCCCAGCTATGCCTAACAAAGCTTTTCCAGACCAGTATCGTATAGTTAATGCTCTTTGGGCTCCAAGTGCTGGCTCGAGGGCCTTTCCTAGCAAATCCAGAGGAGCTCTATATAGTCTTCGGATAGGATTGTAAGTGGCTTTATACATCTCCGGTACTTTTCGGGGCTCGTTCGGAGACAGTTCTTGGTCTTTCAGCCATTGTTTACGAAAAGCTCTCTCCTCATCGGTCATACCTAGAAGTCTTTCCCTTTCACTGGTAAGGCGCCCAGTGATGGACATAGGCTTGACGCCTCCTGTTTGGGATGCTTTAACCATCCTGAATCTAAAAAATATAAGTGTTTTAAAAGGACTTGCGAGAAATTACGTAATTTTTCCACTTACTATTTTTTTGGGGTTAACTATTCGTATTGGGAAATGTCAAACGTTTTGACAGCTAGGTAAAGAGAATCAGAGATATGTTGCTATATATTACTCCAAACTTACTCCAGTGTAAGTATTACAGGTATAGTGATAGGATAATATAAATCGATAAGACTAAAATTTCAATCAACGGTTTTGGAGAAAGAGTTGTGATTCTGATCAAGTCAACCATATTAAATATTAACTAGTAGATTCCTGTCTACGGGACTGAGTGTGGTGGCATTTCAAAATTTCTTAAGTGATATTGTTTCTTTGCACTTCTGCATGATAGTTAATATTTAAAAAAAAATGAAAACACCCACTAATACAGATAATGCAACAGTAATTAATGTATTCATAGATAATTTACAAACAAAAATAGGGAATTTATAGAAAACAATTATACAGATGTTTGCAAGGACCACTATGTTCTAAAATAGACCAAGACCATGTGCAAAAAAATTGAAGGTAGCAACTATAGTTTTATGCTGAACTGGATTGTATTTTAATGTGGTAATGTTATCTTATACACCTTACACCAAATTTAAACCTTAAATTTATATATCTATTCTGCTTATTCAGGTCCAATGCAGAAATGTTTTTTATTAATGTTAAGAAAACAAGAAAATCATACTTTTAAATATTTTATTATTTAAAACAAAAATCCAATTTATCTTAATAAACCATTCACATAACAGTCAGAACTTTCTCACATCTTACAAAAATTGAAGTTGTATAAGGAAAACTATTTACAATAAAGAATTTGTTTTACTTCAAACAGTTATTTTAGTATATAGCAACTATGCAGTTTACCTATAAATTATTCTTTATACATACAAACAATACAGATGAATATCTTTCTAGAAGTGAAATATATCTTGCATATAAAATAGATAAAATTTACTAACAAAATTTCCATAATCATACATAAATACACTGGAAAATATAAAAAAATAATTGCAGCAAATGATTAATCAGGATATTTTTAAATATCCTACATAATTACTCATTTGTGTTGAAATTTTAGTGTTTTTGGTTAAATCAGCATTTAAACTATAAACTTCGGTCACTTTGGAGAAATTATAACTTTCCCTGTAGTTTCTTCATGGCCCTGGTACTTTGGTTTACCATGAGTGAAAGGTAAGTACCTGTACTTTATCATATGCTGAAAGAAACAAGTATTTTTAAAATGATTTCACAATAAAATTTGTGCAAATCATTCTTAAATATCAGGCTAGATAAGAATCAAAGAAGATAATAACATTTACTCCATATGTAAATAACGTTGGAGGAACCATGGGATCTAATAAGAAACTTATGAATTATCAATGTTATCAACTTACTCTGATCTGTCTCTTCATTGTTATGCAGAATAACGTAATAAAATACATAACCAAGATCGGCCAGAATACCGGTATGTTGAAGCACTCAAAGAATGTACAAATTAAACCAATGACTGTACTTTTTGTGACGGAATACCAGAACTTGAATTCAGGCAGCCTTCTTATAAAAGGCCTAAACTCCTCATTCGCCCTGGTTGGCAATTCTGGCCCATTATCTTCAGCTAAAACAATTTAATCAATATAAAACATAGAGTTCATATGGATTATAAAGATAAATGAGCAAAAACAAATTTATTAAAAAAATTATAGGCGAGAAATATCACCTGATAGACTGCATTCGAATATAATTCCTTTACTGAAAACTTACCATCAAAATCCATAGCAGGATCTATTTTGGGTGTGAGAAATGCTATAAACAGGTTTAAATGGTAAATGCCTAAGGCATAAGTGACTATATACCAACCCTGAAAAATATAACATTAAAAAATAGAAAAAACTACCCAGTACACATATGCATCCCCAAGTGGTGGAAAGGGCAGAAATGATGAATTTATTGATCATATAACCCAATAACAAATGATGGTATTCCGTTGTTTATCTAATATTGAATTTAAGGAAGTAGGTTTCGCATACAATCTAGAGGCACGATTATCACATAAAAAAATAACATAAACATAAAAAATAGCACTCGCCTAGTTACAGCCCATTTTTTCTCCTGCTTCAATGTTCAAAACAAAATTCAATGACAAATACACTTTTCAAAAATTAAAAATGTAAGCAGATATGATATTCAAGCACATTCAAGCACTAAATTCAAAACGTAGGAGTTTTTGTACATAATTTTAAACTAATTTTAACACCCACAAATAAGCAGTTGAATGAGTAAAGGACAGTAGAAACGAATAACAATTTGCTATTGGGAAATACAAACTCATCACCCACAAGCCTGTGTACACGAATAAGGGGAACAGAAAGCAAACTATTCAACTGTAGTACCTGTGCATAAAGCACTCGGGCCAAAAAGACTAGGAGGAGGAGGACGGCTGCGAGCCACCGCGACTTTTGCCAGGGCACTGTCCTGTCCACCACTCCCTGGTACCACTAGAACATACAACAGAATTATATGAGAGTACCTGCTTAGTAACGATGCGCAGGCCAAAGAGGACGAGCAGCACTAGTGTGCCTGCCCACCTCGCTCTATTGTGGGGCGTCCATCTATCCAGCATGCTCTGATAAACCTGTGGATAAGGTGACTTTTTTATTATACATTTTTTTAATCGCGATATTACCTTATCCAACTAGAGGAGATATAAGCAAATTTTGAAAATATTAAGAAGTTCATTATATCAATTGTGTAATAATAAATGTTAAAAAGTAATACTATTAAAAAAAAAGCATTCCTGCAGCATAGTATAAAGGTGTTTACCTGAGATAACCTTGTCCATAGCTGAGACACCATACTTTTTTTACTTCCTGATGTCAGCAGTTCGTCCTCCATGGCTTGTGCAAAATAAATTATCTTAAAAAAATGTACCAGTTAATTAACCAATCTATTTAAATTTAATTTTATTGAGTACTGCCCTGATTATGTTCAGTGACATCATTATTGGATTTATCAAATACTGACGCAAGTTTATATAGCTAGTTTTGTAAATTATACGTACCTATTAATATATTAAATAAAATACTGAGATAAAATTAACACTATTTCTTTAACTTAAATCCATTTCAGACGTACACGTCGATGTGCCCTGATCTGTCATCAAAAATATAAGCAAGTAAAATTTTGACTGTGGTCAGAAACTTAAAAAACTTAAAGTTACCAAAGAAAATAGTTCTTATACGAGTAGGTATGAATAAAAAATTGTTATAGTAAAATTAATATAAAGAATATTTGTTTTAACAAACTTATACTAAATGTCTACATGGTATGAAAAATGAATTAAAAAAAATAAAAGTTTGTCTATTTGATTTGTCTATTTCGTTACTACATTGGTCAAGCCATGGATTTTATAGGTAGAGACTGGAGATCCTTGGATTGACTAGAAGAATGAAAAAATATGTACTAAGTGAATAAAGAATAAATTGTTAAACTAGTAAATTATTAGTTAAAACGAGTAAAGGTTAAATGCACGGTTTGGCCTGACAACTAGTCATAATTACTATATATTATGCTCATATGATCACAAATCATAAAATATTTTTTGCCTATTACAGATCTATTCTGATAATAGCATTGAGTTAATCAATGAAGGACCTTGTGGGGATTTTATGAAATGTTGTTAGCAGCTAGCACCACAGAATACATTTAATTGTGGTAACACTGTTGAACTGTTGTATTGTGTGTTGTGATTGTCTTGTCAAGTTGTCAAGTCGACTCTAAAAAGAAGTGTGGTGAAGTGTCAATAAACTGTCACGATTGCAAATTTGGTAATATGGATTCTTATGAAAGTGTTTTGCTTGTAAAACCTGAGGTTTTCGTCTTCAATATACCACCGAGATCATCAAATCGAGGTTATCGGTAAGTACAAAAATTTTTACGACATAATTTTCTGCCAAATTTTAAAATATCCGCCCACTTCCGTTAATCTTACATGTAAACATTTGCTACTTTCCAAAGCAAAAGCTGTAAATAATTACATTTCTCCTATTTATATCATGTTTACAAATTGCTGACCAATAGTCACTAATTTTATTTTTGTATGTAGGGCTGCTGATTGGAATTTGGCTGAACCAGCATGGACCGGAAGGATGAGATTGATTTCAAAAGGGAATGAGCTGGCAATTAAATTAGAAGATAAAAACTCTGGAGAACTTTTTGCTAAATGTCCCATTGATGCATATCCAGGAATAGCAATAGAATCAGTTAGCGATTCTTCTAGATATTTTGTCTTACGTATTCAGGATGACAATGGTTGGTGGAAAACTAAGACTTTTTTAAAAATATTTAAGTATTATATGAAGTATATCATCTTTTCCGGTTTTAGGGAGGAATGCCTTTATTGGTATTGGTTTTGGAGACAGATCTGATTCCTTTGATTTGAATGTAGCTTTACAGGACCACTTTAAATGGATAAAAAAAGAGAAACAGATTAGTGAGGAACCTGCTAGCGGGCCAGCTTTAGATTTAGGCTTCAAAGAGGGTGAGACTATTAAAATTAATATGAAAATTACGAAAAAAGATGGTTCAGAGGGGGGTGCAAGGTCGAAAATAAAACCTGGTAATGGGGGTGGCTTGGGATTATTACCCCCACCACCTGGTGGGAAGTTGCCAGCTCCTCCTGGCAGTTCCCCAGCTGGATCTCCAGCCCATGCTCCAAAAACGGATAGCACGGCAGTGGATTCTTGGGGCGAGTTTACGTCAGCACAAGCAAGGTAAGAACCATTACATTTTAAAATTTGTTTTCATATCATTATTACGTAGCTTTATTTTATATAACTTTAAATGGGGGTTATATTTACATGGAGGCTAAATTTAACATTTATAAACTTAATTCTTTTTAACCTTATTATATATAAACAATGCCGCTCAGTTAGTGTCATAAAGTTCGTTTAAAATACAATTTCAGTCCGGCTATGTTCAGTAGCGGTACACCAAAAAGTTTAAATGTATTTTAAAAGTCGAGTTATAACATGACTAATACCTTATTTAAAAAATAATAATTTCTGATTGATACACGTACTATTACATACACCTAAAAACTGACCCCCACTTGAAGTTACACCCTGCATAACTAATGTGATGTAAAGTAATGATTAGTTAGCATTAATTGTTCAAAGCAATTGATAATTTGTTCATACTTTTGTTCTATTAAGATACCACATTTACTGTTTGTAAAATCGTTATAAAATAAATAAATTATTTCTTTTATTAACCTAAATCATCACTAAATTCATAAATGATTATAGAGTTAAAAAAGCATGTTATAATACTATAACTTTACTTTCAGTGCTCCACCTGCGGGTCCAGCAACAAATAGTAGTTGGGTGCAATTTTAACTTATTTGTGATTATCTTATGGTTAGACTTTAGTTATCGTAACCCTGAAATCATTGGATTATATTGTGATTCACTATATATCATAGTTTCAAAGGAGATATAAAAATTTTATTTTTGTGTCAGATTGTATAATAAGTAAATACATATTAACATTTTCATTTAAGCCTTATCAAGGCACTATTATCCTTAAGGAAACATTATATATTTGTTCTCTACGACTCATACGGCAGAGTATTTAACTTGAAAATTTTCAAGGAAAACTGATAATTTGTGTAATTATAATCTTTTAATTTTTACTTTTGTGAATTAGTATCAAGAAGTTAACAATTTCTTTTGTAGGATTTATAGAAAATTTTAAAAAATTTCTAGTAGTTTTCAGGTTTCCTTGAATTATTTCTTATATCCATCGACACATTTATTCTTATATTATATTTTCAGATGTGATGAGAGATTTTTTGAAAGTTATAACTAGTAGGTCTAGATTTTGTAAGCGGTATATTCAGGAGTATCTTTGACTTGTTATTTAAAATGGATAGCGTTACTGTAATTTTTTAGTGAAATCTATGCACTGTTGATACTTACGTGTTGTTTAACAACCAATTTTTAATGTTTTACATTCTAATTACTGTTATTATTTTAAATTCTTTTATACACAGAAAAGTTCGAGTGTTTTTTGAGAACTTTAATATTTTAACATTCCATCTAATTGTAGATTCATCATTATTAAGATCAGAGTAAATGTACTGAGTTTTGAAATGGTTTTATTGCCAACACCTCTATTTTTACCAACTCCCGAAACACAATCTTTTGTCATAATTGCTTTATAAATGCTTTAAAATCTTAAACAATTGATTTTATTGGGTTGGGGAATTAATAATGTTTCGTTTTTTCAAATTTAAGATGTTTTATTTTTAACTATACAATTATCAATAAACTAATCAGTGATGTATTCTCCATTGTTATTCATGATCTCAACAAGTTTCTCGATGCCTCTTCAGTAGAAATCCTCCAGTTATGACTCGAAAAACTTATCCAACCAAGTTCCTTAATTCTGTCATTGTTAAAAGAACACAAAAAGCTCAAGAGCTGAAAATCAGAAGGCGCCAGATCAGGAGACTAAGGCAGGTGGAACATAACCTCCCAATTCAACTCCTGAACAGCCATTTGGTTATATTGGCAATATGTTGTCGTGCATCGTCATGTTGCAAAAGAACGTCATATCGATCAGGTCTTTTTTGCTGAATAGTCATATGGAGTTGCCATAGTTGTTGGACATAGAGTTCTGCGTTGATGGTTTGCTTGGTAAGAGTTCGTAATAAAGAATACTTTTCCAATCCCAGTAGACGCATAACATTGTCTTTTGATGATGAAGTTGTGCTCTTGTTCGCAGACTTGCTTGTTTTTTTGGGGCTTAACCGTTTTTTTGTTGTTTCAAGTTCACGTACAGAACCATGGACCATGTATTGATCAATGACGACAGAGTAAACTAGCGGCAATTGTGGAGCGTTGATTCTTATTGTTTTTGTTGAAAAGATGAGGGACCCCGTTACCGAGTCTTTGAACTTTTTCCGTCAACTGCAGGTGGTTTACTACTGTTTTGTGATCACATCCCATCTCCTGAATCAATTCCCTTGTTGATCGTCTTGGATTTTTGTGAAGGAGTCGATTCAATTGCTTTTCATCAAATTCAACAGAATGTCACTATACAGGGCAAAAATTTCCTGAGCAGCTTGCGTGCCATCAGTGTTTTGCCCGTCTCGATTAAAAACAAAAAGAAGCAAGAGCCAAAAATGATTAATTTTTTGATATTCCATTTCAAATGAATGAAAATTCACAAAAATTAAATCTAATGAAGCAACCAAGAACATAGTCTGATAGAGCAGCGGTCTTCAAACTTTTACGAAGAACCCTGCCAACATTTCGATTTTTTTGAGGAACCACCTAAAAAAATTTTCAAACACATTTTTTACTGATTATATAATATATTTCTAAGTACTAGTTTTATGTAAGAGTATAAATTTTTTTGAATTTTGTTAGTTCAAAATTTTGAATTTTTGACAGTCGCGGAACTCCTANCATATGGAGTTGCCATAGTTGTTGGACATAGAGTTCTGCGTTGATGGTTTGCTTGGTAAGAGTTCGTAATAAAGAATACTTTTCCAATCCCAGTAGACGCATAACATTGTCTTTTGATGATGAAGTTGTGCTCTTGTTCGCAGACTTGCTTGTTTTTTTGGGGCTTAACCGTTTTTTTGTTGTTTCAAGTTCACGTACAGAACCATGGACCATGTATTGATCAATGACGACAGAGTAAACTAGCGGCAATTGTGGAGCGTTGATTCTTATTGTTCTTGTTGAAAAGATGTGGGACCCCCTTGCCGAGTCTTTGAACTTTTTCCGTCAACTGCAGGTGGTTTACTACTGTTTTGTGATCACATCCTATCTCCTGAATCAATTCCCTTGTTGATTGTCTTGGATTTTTGTGAAGGAGTCGATTCAATTGCTTTTCATCAAATTCTACGGAATGTCACTATACAGGGCAAAAATTTCCTGAGCAGCTTGCGTTCCTTCAGTGTTTTTCCCATCTCGATTAAAAACAAAAAGAAGCAAGAGCCAAAAATGATTAATTTCTTGATATTCCATTTCAAATGAATGAAAATTCACAAAAATTAAATCTAATGAAGCCACCAAGAACATAGTCTGATAGAGCAGTGGTCTTCAAACTTTTAGGAAGAACCCTGCCAACATTTAGATTTTTTTGAGGAACCACACCTAAAAAAATTTTCGAACACATTTTTTACTGATTATATAATATATTTCTAAGTACTAGTTTTATGTAAGAGTATAAATTTTTTTGAATTTTGTTAGTTCAAAATTTTGAATTTTTGACAGAGTCGCGGAACTCCAAGAGAGGTTGTGGGGAACCCCAGGGTTCCACGGAACACAGTTTGGATACCGATGTGATAGAGCAATAAGTTCTCTTTCGAACTACATGTATCAATTTGACAATGCGTTTAATTTTCATGTGAATTTTTAAATTTGAAAAAACGGACGTTACTTATTCCCCAACCCGTTAAAATGAGAATCCTTCCGTTACCTCTATATTTCTGTAAAAATAAAGGTTAGGTGTATTTATATTTTTTGTTAGTGTCAATTTATTTTCTTTTTCCACATAAATAGCATTTCAAGGGATTTTTTTGTGGGGAAAATGAAATACATATATATACAATATATTTGCAGTTTTATTCTACGGACTTCTGTACATTTGTAAAAATAAATACAAATAAGATCACAATCACAAAGTTAATACATATTCAAAAAAATTATCTACAAAAATAAATTAAGTGTAAAATGCATTTTAGTAATGATGCTTTCTAGTATCTACATATTTTATTTGTAAATCTTTTAAAATGTCCCAAAATACTAAACACAAAGCTCCGTGAGGAGCTAATCTCATATAATTCGCACCTATTCCTTTGTAGAATCCGAGGAATCCTTCGGACTTTCCTATCTTCAGGAAGCAGTCTATTATTCCTGTGTATAACAGACCTCTTCCTTTAGCATCGACACCTAGAATTAAAAAAATCCTAAATCTATACTTGAAATTAATTACGCATACGAATGAAGAAAAACGTACCTTGGTTATATAATCGAGTGGAAACTAAATCGAACGGAGTTATCATTACAGTCTGAAAAATTCCTCCAACGATACTCGAAATCAGGGAATTCGCCAGGGGATACTTTTTGAACGTCTCGTAATTATTCAGTATATCTTTGGTCACCGCAAAAGATGTTAATTGAGCTGTTGACCCAACAAGCGCTCTTACCATGGTACCACTAACCCCTCTCCATAATCCAAATACCTGAAAAATATGTTTCAGCAATCACCATAAAATATTGCGTTTTATTAACGGTAAATAGTTGTAAATTCATCATAACTTACTCCATACTGCAAGTAAATATCTTTCAAGGCGTGCAAAGCGCCTCTATGACCGTGTTGTGTCCCTACCGCAATACTTTTCGCTGCTTGGGACTGCAATTGTGTTTTTATCAAAAACAGGGGGCTTCCCAAGAACGCCCCCGCGCATCCTGTCACAGCGCTCGCTATTGCGCTTTTATAGATGATGGTTTTTCCATTTTTGTCCGTCAAATATCCTTCTTTATGTAACCACTGGTAGCTACCTATAAATAGAAACCACTTACCATGTATAATGGTCAAGTATTATCAATTAATTATCGACATAAAATAGACATAACAATGTAATAAAATTGTTAAATTCCAAATATCAAAAACAAACGTCAAAATTTTTTTTTTCTGAAAAAATATTAATTACTGTTAAATATATCTAAAATTTTATACTATATGCCAATTACCAATACAATACCTACCCAGCCTGACGCTGTTCCTCACAGTGTGCATCATAAGGGCTGGGCCCAGACCTTTCTGCAAACCCGTCAATCCTTCATTCTTCGCCACTACCCATCCGGCGTGAAATACGTTTTTGTAATATACTGCGTGTTTGCCTCGTGCTCTTAGTTCGCCTTGTAGTTGCATTCGAGTTTTCAGGACATCAAAAGGATTGCTGAAGACGCAGGCCCCACAGGCTGCCAGTCCTCCTATGAGAAAATCCATGTTGGGTGTAGATTACTTTTTACATTTATTGCTTATACTTTCTTTTCTGAAAAAGATTTAGTTAAATAAAACTGAGATGCAACATCCTTTTTTTTATATCTGTAAAATTAACAAAAAATAATCATTGTAAATCTTACAGTTTTGAAAAGTGCACCCGATATTAAAATTTCGCGTTTTTCATGTTTGCTTTGGCGATTATTTTAACTAAATATTATCTTGGTCCATCGAGTTTTATACTTGAACGGCCAAATTTCCTATTTTTGTGGTTTAGGAAATATATTTTAAGTAAATATTCATTATTCCTCAAGGTCTAATGTCAATGCGAAATTATAAAAAGTATAAAGGTTCCAGTACATTGCAGTTTGCAGTGTTCTTAATTTAAAAGATTTATTACTAATTGCAGACTATATTAAAATGCGGCTCAAATTGAATTTAAAACGCTAATAGGGTTGTCAATATTTAAGTTCCAAGAAGTTACCATTTCACTAGTTCTGGGTTTCAGTTCATCACTTTTAAAATAAAACACATTCAATATCACTTGAATTGAAGTTACATAGTTAAAATATGTTTTAACTTTTTAATGTCTAGAAAATATAGGTACTACTTACTTTTTAATAACATGTATATGAAGTTTAAATTGAAACTATTAAATAATTACCTATTGTAATAAGCTTTACTGATAAATCTGTAAGGTAACCATAGATAAATGCGATAACGATCATATACTATACTAATTTTGCTTGCCTTAAGTATCTTAATACATGATATGAAGTACCTATACAAGTTTTTTTTTCTCGTAAAATATATACTTGCAAAATTCGGGTGATGAATCAGATTTTTTAAGGAATTTAGGTATATATGTCATCATTAAAATATTATTGTAGTTCAATAAATTTAGAGAAAACATGGGCTTAATCTTGTCTAGGAAAAATTATAGGCAGTAGGTAGTAGGGTAGCTGTACAAACACAAAAAGTGGAAGAGCTCAAATTGAAATGTTAATAAGAATATTTCACATTAGCGAAAAAAATTGAAGGCCTCTGCTTTTTCCTTGCATACGGCTCTGGTACGTGAAAAAAGCGCCATCCCTTTGAACAAATCAAAATTCAGTATAAAAAGGTGTGCTTGCTAATGCTGATGCACCAAGATGATATTTTTAAGGGATAGGTCGTCTCATAAATAAATGCAATACAAATTTAATTTTTTTGTTTTACAAAATAAATTGAAACCTGATATGTTAATTTTGTATTTATTTGCATCACATTGTCGACTTATTCTAAACTGTAAAATTAGCAAACATTGTGCAATCTTTAATCTTATCGGTAAAATGCGCGTAGACACCTACCTACATATATGTACAATGTATCTGTTGCATTGTTTTAAGGAAATGCATACTAAAACAGTCAGAAATATCTAATAAACAATCTAAAAATCAAAATTTCATAAAACCTTTTATTTTCCTCCTATCCTAATACAATACTTCAGGTGTAAATCGTTACTTTTATAGAATACGTATTACATACAAATACTGAAATATATAATTAATGTTTACCACGAACTCAAAAAAAAAACCTTAAGTTTGGACTTTGACCGGCTTCCCACAAATTATAACATTCACGTTTTACGGGGGCGTTTTTTTACCAGATAAAACGATAACTGAGAGTAATCGAGATAATTTTTGATTATTAAAATATTCAGCGTTAAGTAATACCTACTTATAATTGTACAGCGTACACGACACAATACTGTTGTACCTATATATTATAATTTTCCAATAGGTAGATATACTTGATTAACTATTTGCTAAATTATCGTAAATTGTATTTGTTGGCGTTTTTATTAATTTTTGTTATCTATGTGAATACCTACCTTGTAAGTGATTTTATTAATTATTGTTATAATTAGTAACAAATCATTCGATGAGCAATTAACATACCTTAGCAACATTTTGTTATTTATGTCCCTCATCTATTTTCGTTCTTTCTCGTTCACTTTTTGAGGTTAGGGTAGGATAGATAGACGAAGACGATAGACGGCTAGGCGGATTTCCTCGACGTAGGTACACGGATTGTGCTTATATTATAAATTACTGATTACTCGCGTGGTTTTATTTGTTTTATCGTAAACCGGTGTCATAGTCACGCGATGGTATTTTTAGCAAACGTTTTGTGGATAGGTACGCAGACGTGGGACGTAGGGCGAATATTATTTTAAAATGTTGGACTTTATTCCTGGAATTTCTCAGAAATTATTTTTGCAATTTTATTTATAGAATTATCGATTAAAATGATTTAGATTGTCCAGATATCCTGTGAATAATTAAATTCTGTGACGATATCACACGGACAGGTAGACAGGACCGTAGTCAGGAGGAAACTTCAGGCCAGGCAGAGCGAACATTTTCTTTACTAGAGACTAGGGGTGAATTTGAGAAATGAGGAATAAATAACTGGTAGCTATGTTATACAGTGTAAATTCAAACAATTTTGTAATAATGCTATTATACTTTTGACAAAAGTTTACGATTCAAATGGCGTCGATGTGAGAGATTTTTAACTTGTTCTTCCTGAAACTTTTATGCTAGTGAAAATAATTTGAATTTCATGCTGAATTTTGGATTCTCATACATTTTTAGCAAAGTGCTGTAATGTAATTTTTTCAGGTATACAGAGCTCTAAAGGTAACAGTAATATATGCAGTCATAGTAGAGGCAGCAGTGTGGTTTAAAAATATTTTTTATGTAATTAAAAAAAAGAAAAGGTGAAACAAATTAAAAATCTCTATATCTACATCACTGAAGAATTTTCAGGCAACAATATTTATTAAAAAGTGTAGCTTAGTGGCCTTATTACACAACCAAAAAACAAACAGGAAATATTTGTTTATTATTTTGTTAATTAATTCACCTAATTTCTAAGCCGTTAATGTTATGATGTAAATCAAACTCACAACGTTTTTGATGCTGTATCTTACCCTTATTTCTTTATTATCTTTATTTTTGTACTAACATTTGTCAGACGGTAAATATTTTGTTTGGCTATAGCCCTGCTCTTAAGTAATTTTAATATGAAATCGAGCGGGTGAAAATGATTATTTTTTACTAATCTTAGTATTGTCATATTCATTAAAATAACGATATATTTAAAGATAAAAATTAGTAGTTCAATTTATTTGTCATCAATTGTGTTTTACAGTTTATTTTCAGGTATTACAAATCAATGAATTTAATTTTGTCAGGGTTTAAATATGTATATTAAATACGAATCGTGTGTAACAGTATTATAAATATTTTATTACAAACACATCCAGTGGGTACAAAATAAACAAATTATAACATTTTACAATAAATTAAATTATTTTATAAACGTAAATATTTACAACATGAAATATAAACTTCGTAAATTACTATAGATAATGACTTTTACTATCACTTTTTTTTTTTCTGGACAAAACTGGAAAATTTAATACTAAAGGTGGGATTACCACCAGAGATATACTAACTAAAATTTCAAATATTACACATAAATATGCGTATTCGATTTTGGTAACTTTTCACCTTGACTTATAATATCACATTAGTAAATATTTAGATTATTTTTGTGTTAAAGCTATAAACTCACTAAAAAATCACTAGTATCAAGCTACCTCAAATTTTACTAATTCAGCACCAATAAATATTGCTGGAGCTTTCTTCCATTGATTCGTTGAAGTAGTTAATTGGAGTCTCCTCTTTAATAGAGAATATCTGCTGGTAGAAGCTGTGCGTTGGGACAGTGCTGTAATTTCGGTCATTGTTCGTTCTTTCGGTATGATTGGCGTATATCCCTTTCAGTTCTTCCCAGAAGACCAAGCAGAGTACCGTGTGGGGCCCCAGTTTGATATACAGCGGTCCCATTCCTCTGTAGAAAGGTCTCAGGCCGTTTTTCCTGTAAATCTTCCTTATGCAATCCAAGTAACCGCTGTATTGATGGCTCGACTTGGCGCCGATGGCTGAAAAGAAAACAATATTTTGGTCGTAGTGGTATGGCAAGCAACAAATGAATGTCTACCTTGCTTATACATCTTGGTGAGAACGAGATCGAAAGGTGTCATGGCCATGCTAAGCACTATCCCTGCAACCACCCCTGCCAGGACGGTGGCGAAGAACGGGTTGTTTTGGAATGTTTCTAGTTTGTTTAAACTCTCCTTTGCCAAGGCAAAGGAGGTTAACTGGGAGGTTCCTATGAAGGCTCTTGGCAGGGAAGCAGTAGCTCCTCTGAAGAATCCTCGAATCTAGAAGGAATGATATAGTATTATTTTGTACAGGGTTTCTGAAATCTATGAGGAAAAGTTAAGAAAGTTCAAAAAAATGTTAAACTAACATAAGTTATATAACCTCAAAGTTATTTTTTAAATTTGTATGCTGCCATAACTTTTCTGGAGTTTTTTCGATTTTTTTTCAAAATTTTTGGTAGCAAACTGCACGCACCAAATATATCAAAATTCTAAAACCTTAGAGGGTTTAAATGGGGGCCAAATGGCCCATATTGACCAGGAAATTTATCGTAACCGTTTACTTACATTTTTTCAAAAAAATTTATTCCAAAGATCGTTAAAAGTCCAACAAAAACGTTCTCTTGTTCCTGTTCTTGTTGATCCCCTTGAAAAATCTTATTTTATTTTACTAATATTTATAAAGACAACTTACTTGACTAATATTGTGAGAAAGGGGAATCATTGCTCCTAATTGAATATACGCTACAGGGTGTCCGTTTCTGCTCATACCTATAACTGCTTCAGAATGGCACAAATGAAATTTGAGAGGAGGTATCATTGAATAAGCTGTCCACCGCAATAGCGCAACAAAAAAATGACCTCAGAGGGAAAATTCACCACATTACGCATGCAATAAATAATACACAAGGGATTATATATTTAGAATTTACCAGTCGTTTCGCCGATGTGAAGACATATAATATTGTTTTGATTTCTAAGTTAATGCGTGACATTATAATAATATTAATTTAAAATTTATTTCCTATCCTTAAGAAAGTTTTCTTATCAGAAGAACGATCTCCCATTCAACTGAGATTTTCGGTAAAACGATATACTATACCGATTTTTAACAAGTATACCTTGTTTATGTAGAATTATCCACGGAATCCAAAAATGAATCCCAAATGATTATTACGTCATTGGCGTAGAAGTTAGGGTAAAAAAATTCCACTTTACGACTCATTACTACGCCACTGACCTACAAAAATTTGTAAATTTTACAGTAAATTACGCACATGTGCAAATGATAACACCACACCAAATTTGAATCAATTTGTTATAAGCATACCAAAGATTTCGTAAATAATATGATTTTAACAACCGACCAATAAGGTCCTGTACAGTGAAAACGGTGAACGACTTAGACCCTTACTTGATAAGGCAATTTGTGGCTAAAGTTTGATTTACTCGAATTGAAACACCCTGTATATAAGTCGCTATACTGTACAAGTTTCGAAATGTGGATATGCGTACAGTCCACTATTCTTATTGTAGGTATTAGAAAAACTAATCGCTTCTGCAATAAGAGTTCTGTAGTTTTTTCACTAGAAGAAGGAAATTGAATCCACATATTTATTTTCTTTTATATTCGCCATTTCAGCAATGATTTTTGATATTGTGCTTTGTTTAATTCCACTAATATTATTTTGATAGCTGGGATGAAATACGTGATGCAGGAAAACTCTTTTATTTTGGACAACTATTAGCGAACTTCTTTTTTTTTCATGCAATTCACGCATGAAATAATTTGAAAGCCAATGAACTGTACCGGTACGCAGGGACGAATTTCTAAATTATGCGCCCTAGGAGAATATGATCGGCCGCCCCACTATCGGTAAGGAATCAAGTTTTCAAGAACAGGAGACCGTCTCGGCAATAGCTCCTACGCCCCTTACAAAAATACGACCCTGACGGTACGCCACAAGCCGAATACCTAGAACTCGTAAATTAAATATAAATGAAGTGTACCTACTTAGAAATTAAGATGTATTTAGAAAAGAGGATTAGGAATAAACGTATTGTAAATCTATAGCTATACCAAGAATGGAGAAGCCGGACCCAAAACTACATAGACAGTGTCGGTCATGAGCGCCGCACTATAATTCATTTGGACTTAGGTATGGACAAAATTAAGTAGCGCCTCGTAGAAAAAAGATAAAAAAAAAAACAAAAAATAGTGTTTTAAAGCTTAAGAGGAACAGATTACAGGAAAAATAATCACATTTCACCAGCACCGCATTTACACCCTCAAAATTGAGCCCCAAAATTATAATTTTGAAAAAAATTTACATTTTTTTGCTCTCGTTTGCAAATTATTTTTTTTTTTAATTGATACATAACATTTTTTATAGTTTTTGAGATGAGGAATAAGGATCCATTGTTTAAATTGAACTAAAAAATTTAGAACCCTTAAATTTATGAATATTTCAGTTTATGATGTTTTTAACTCTGATTTCCGCTCCTATTGCATCGATTTGCTTGAAATTTGGAAAGTAGGTGGGGAATAGGGAATAGTAGGGAATAGAAACAAAATACACCCATGCTGATATATATTTTTACCCTGGGGGTGGTTTCTAAACCTTTGTAGGGTTGAAAATAAATTTTGTCAAAATAATCCCGGGAATCCATAGAGCAACTAATTTGAAACAAGAAATGTGTCATACAATTTTTTTGATAAACCAATACTTTTTGAGTTATTTGCGACTGAAAACTAAAATATTCAATTGAAAAATTGGGTTTTTAATCGCAAATAACTAAACAAGTATTGGTTTATCAAAAAAATTGTATGACACATTTTTTGCTTCAAATCGGTTACTCTATCGATTTCCGGGATTATTTTGGTAAAATTTATTTTCAACCCCTACAAAGGGGTAGAAACCAACCCAGGGTAAAAATACATATCAGCATAGGATGTATTTTATTTCTTGAGCTATTCCCCACCTACTTTCGAAATTTCAAGCAAATCGATGCATAAGAGCGGAAATTAGAGCTAAAAACATCATAAACTGAAATATTCGTAAATTTAAGGGTTCTAAATTTTTTTTTAGCTCAATGTAAACAATGGATCCTTATTCCTCATCTCAAAAACTATTAAAAAATGTTTTGTATCATTTGAGAATTTTTTTTTCAAACAAGAGAGCAAAAAAATGTAAATTTTTTCCAAAATTATAATTTTAGAGCTCAATTTTGAGGGTGTAAATGCGGTGCTGGTGAAATATGATTATTTTTCCCGTAATCTGTTCCTCTTAAGCTTTAAATCGCTATTTTTTGTTTTTTTTTATCTTTTTTCTACGAGGCGCTACTTAATTTTGTCCATACCTAAGTCCAAATGGATTATAGTGCGCCGTAGGCATGATTTGAATTTTACGTCCCCCCAAGAAAATATTTTGTAAGAAGAGAAACAATACAATAATTGTAAAGCGTATTTAAGTTATATGTTTGCGCCCCTGTTGGCCAGTCTTTATCTACGACGCTGTATGCTGTACCTGAAGAGGGTTTTTACAGTAATAAAGCAATTAAACTAGCAATAAGTCCAGACCGACAAAGTTGGGATTATTGTCTAGATTAGAAATTTCAGACAGTCTCTTTTACCTAAACTTTGAAAACAGATCATTTTACGTAGTGACTTTGACATGAAAAGGTTGTGAATTGTGCCAGAATTAAATATTGAATATTAGGTGAGTTTTTTCACTGAGCATACTTATTTATTACAAATTATAACCAATCCAAATAGTAATAATTTGTGAGTTTTCTCATTGAACTCTTTAGTTTATCACTCTTTAGTTGGCTTATTCATATAATTCGTGAGTTTTCTCACTGAGCATACCTATTTATTAGAAATTATAGCTTATTGCTCACTGAGCGCTTTTATTTAGTATTGATAGATAATTGCCAGTTTTATCGCAGAGCATAGCTACATCTCCAACATTGCTATATTATCTTTGAGTAACAATAACAGTTGCTATAGAAAGAATTTTTTTGTGTTAGTAACTGTTGAGGAATTGCTATTATGAATTAATGTGCTAAATATGTACAATTGATTAACCAGTTACTAGTAACTTTAATGACATTTGATGTGAATAAGTTGTTTATGAATTTGAGGCACTTTACTGTTTTGCTCGTCAGTACTGACTGTGTAGACATCCATGGATAATGTTTTTGAGTGAGCCTTGTGATGTTTTTTACGATACTCAGGTGGGGTGCATCGCGAGTTTGCCCTTTGCATCCATTAACACCTGGTGCTGGTGGATTCTCAACTCTGGATGGAGTTGACACCGGGAGGAGTGTCAAGAACAGTACAAAAATCTGATCTGTTTAGATGTTTAATATACAGTATAGTTTGGTGATAAGTAGTATGCAGTTATTGATTGAGTAGGTAGTAGATATATCACCTTGTACATGTTTAATGTTAAATGGACACAATAATATTTAAAAATAGTACCTAACGAAGTACTCGTACATTAATATATTCAGTAATCATTGATACATTTGTTAACTGGATTACAGACATATTTTGTGGCCACACATTAAGAAATGATCACCTCATCTCACCATCACAGTTCTGATCTGCCCTGACAATACGCAGGTCATTTGTCTGAGGTATTTACATTTTTCTTTAGTTACACATACTTATATTTACGCCCGCAAGATAGAGCAAATATTCACATGTTTTCAACATAATAATCGACAACCAATTTTCACACTTTTTACACTTTTCAACTCTTTATTTCTCCTTACGAAAAACCCCAAATCTTACAAATCCAATCTAATTCTTTCTAAGCTCTACATATACAATCTTAAAAAATCAGGTAAATCCTAAACAAAATGCAACACATTAATCTAATGTTATATAATAGTTTTGTCGGCAAGTGAGGCCACTTGAAGTGATAAGATATTAGATATTACTCCGTCTGGCCAGACCAACACCGTAGACGCTTTTGAAATTAAAATGTGATTAAACCTTACCTTACTGATCTGTTTTTGACACGTACATACCTACATCAGTTTTATTCAGTTTTCTTGAGTAAATTTTGCGGTTAGCCTGTCTCAATGAGAATGCTTACAAATATTGTTATCTTTTACTTATAGCTATATACAGGGTAATTCAATAATCTGCATTTTGGCAGCAGAAACATATTCCAATTTAGAATTGACCAAAGTGACTGCCCATGCTTTGATAAATTTAAAGTCCAATCTATTGTTGCTCTCGCGAAGTACATTCTAACGAAATCTCTAAATGGTCCGTACAGTTTTCAGTTCCGCATTAGATTAACACAGTCATACATAATATACAGAACTTTGATTAAGCCACGTGACCAGTAATTTTGCATGGAACAGTAATTTTATTTCCTTCACGTTGGCAATTAAATTTCGGTAAAATTAAAAATTGTTAAAACAATAAGAACAAAAGTACATTAAAATACAACATTCTGTTTCACGATTGGTGACTGAAGTAATTTTTCACGAGATTCTATTCAGCCAATCAGCAATCGCATTATCCTGAGCGTTGACATAAACGTAACGGTTTGTCAATGTTCATTGTAAACGAATCATTAATATCGGTGGCGCTAAGATTTGGGAATTTCTAGTTGACAGTATTTAGCCGTGCAATGTTGGCTGCCTAAGCTCGACAGTGACGTCGCTTGTAAACATTTATGAAGGACCTGTATCTGCTTACCCCGTTATCCCTATATATCCTCTGGATTGTGTCCATGTAGCCTGTAGACTTCTTATCACTATTGTTTGCATTGTGTTGCATCACGTCCATTTCGTGCTGATACTTGAGGAGATAGAAAGGGTTAGATAAGTATTGACCCAGGAGACCACCGGCACCACTTGTTAGGACGCTCTTGGGTACAGCCACATCGCCGCCAGAATTGGTAGTTAAACCACGCGATTGACCCATTTGGTATGTGCCTGGAAAAAAGTTATTTATACAGATACGTTTGGAGAAAATTAATACAATTTTAGTACTGTATTTATTGTATTATTAAAGGTAAATCTAAAAGCTGCTATGACACTGGATGATGTGTTGATGATTGCAATTTTAAATAATAGAAATAAAAAAACTGTTAATAAAAGAACGTACTTAGATATTTTTATAATAATAATTACGATTATTGTTAATTTATTTGTCAATTTGATACACAAAGTGTGAAAATATTGACAAATATTGAACTTGGTTCATAAGTAGCTAAAAGTATAATGGAAACCGCATACTTAAATAAATCTGCCATTTTATATAGTTACATAACACAATTGTTGCACTACCACAATTTTTTATTGTGCAATGAAAAATGTTTTTTACATTTTATTTTTTGCTAAAATGAGAATCTAAACAAGTAAAATTATAAATATGTGTACTTATTGCTGTCACTAGGTTTATGACGCTGTATTTCCTCTTTACCCACCTTTGATAACACCTACATACTTAGGTTTCTGTGGTAAAATGTTGGGAAAACAATTTTTTCAAAAATTAATGATCTAATAATAACATGCGTTGTTTGACCGCAAACGCATGTTAGTTTGGTGTATTTCGTAGAATTCTAGACTAATGAAAAATTTTTATTGTGTAAATGATAATGATGGAATCAATTTCTGTTTTATTGTACATAGTATTGTTCTGACACTCGCCTTACTTATAAACGCAAAGCATTAATTATTCGATAAATATTTGTTCCATTTTCTGATATTATTGTGCTACAGGGTATATCGATTTATATATATACACAGGTGTTAATAAAAAAAAACAAGTAAAGGTCAAATTAGTCAAGTCTCTTATTAAATCACCCAAAGGAAGCTAAAACTTTTAACCATTTCACATTCAATACGATTTGTTTTAAGATTTACTTTTTGAAACATAGTTTTATTTTTTTCTGAAATCTGATAACATGATGTTATTTCACACCTCTCAAAATAGCCCCAGACCATTTTTTTTTTATAAAAACAGCTTCTGTATTCAGGACAGGGGTAACACTACAACATATCCAAAATTAACGAGCGTTTTTCTCGTCCAAATTTATGAATATTTTACCTATGATACGTTTACGTATGATACAAAGAATACAAGACATGATATTCCCGTGAACCAAAATCGATTCGCTTGGCGCATGACGTCAGCTGGAGAGTGAATTGGCTAATTAACGAAACCGAACGTCACAGGCATGGAGGCTACAATGTTCTTTTTCAGAAATACTCGTATGTGCATTCTATTTACTTGATATTATAGAATATAGAGTATATGAATTTAATTTGTTTTTTTACATATGTAAATACAATGGGACACCCTGTACATAAACAACTATTCTGTCACTGAGGATATTATATTATATACATAAATTTTCGGATTTTAGAAGATATATACATTTTTGTGCATTATTTTTTGTTGACAAACATAATTTGTATAAGGTATAACATTGCAATTTTTTAATTTTTGCTTTGACGTCGATAAAAAATATATATAATATACAGGATAAATTTTAAATGGCTTTACTTTTGTAAACTTTTCAGTTTATGATACATATTTACATAGAAAAATTTTCCGAAAAATATATTTACTGAGCAGCTCTATTAAAGTTTTCCTGTAATTTACTGGGAAATAAATAAAATCAATAATGAATTTAAACCAAAATACAAAATGGAATGAAAATGTATCATAGCAGATTTTAGACAGACAGACAGACATTTAGAGCAGAGTGAACCGGTGATTATTTTTGCCTTTACGACGGCGTAAAATGAGTGGAACATCTCACCTAACTTCATGCCATAACTGACAAGGTATGCCCCAAGAGCTGGCGATAGCCCCTTTTGTAGGCTTTTGACTCCATCATGCTTGGCAACTTGGAGTCCAGTGTGGAAGAACGCCCTACATTTGTTCATCTGGCTCTTCTGGCTCAACTCCATGTGGTGCTTGACAACCTCCAGAGGATTGGTGAATAGACCCGCACTTGTCGCTGCAATGCCCCCAATAACGAACTCCATTTTGTACAGCCGCGTGGAAGAGTTCCGGATCTTAGTCACAAATTCTTGTCCTGGTAAGGATGTCACTGGTGGAATGAATGGAAAAAATGAAAGATGTTTTTATTTATAGTATTGTGTGGTGGGAGTAGTGATTCAGTGGTTTCGCATGTGAGGGAGAAGATACGCAATTGCGCTATTCCACCAGTGGTTTTCCTCAGATAACAGAATTCCGTAGTGTTCGTTGTCGTTAGGTGTAATCTAACATTGCATCTGACATTTATATAATACTTTGTTCGAGAAAATGCTAATTAAAAAACAGAAACAGTCATTAGTTAACTGTTTTCAAAACAGGTTTTAAAATATCGAAAATTCACAATTTTGTTTAAAGAAATTTGTTTACAATAATTAACTTACATTCTAAGATGTTGCAATGAGGCTAGGTTTTATGGAATATAAATTTATTTTTTCCCTAAAACATAGAGGGCGTTGAGGACACTTCAAACTTAATTTAAACTCAAATAGTCTTTTGTACTTTGTAATATTTTTTTCTTTGTAGAAATTTTTAGGAAAATCATGTATTTTTTTTTAATACCACCTTATTAACTGTAAAAAATATATTGTCCTCCTTGATATCGAAAAATGATGTAATTATTGCACTGTGGTACTGAACAATAGTTTTTTGACTTGGTACTATTATTTGCATCATTTCCAGTGGTCGTTTAGAGAATATTTCAAAAAAGAAAGTAAAAATAATCAAATATAAATAAAAAATTAGTGAAGTCACCCTCGCGTTGTTCAATATAGATACCATATAGAAAACAGTAGTGAGTTTTACATTTCATTTATCCATGTACGGTATTCTCCCTTCAGTACATCTATACAAGGTGTTAGTAAACAAGTGCGACAAATTTCAGGGGGTGATTCTACATAAGAAAATAATGGCAGTTTGCTTATAAACGTATGTCCGCAAATGATTCGTTTTCCGAGATACGGGGTGCCAAAGTTTTTCTTAAAAATTGACGATTTAATTTATTGCTCTGAAACCGGTCGAGATGTGCAAATGAAATTAGGTGGGTTTTAAGAGGTACTTATTACGCATTTTTTGACACGCCATTAAGAATTTTATGTTCATCATTGGCGTACAGGTAATAATCTCAATTTTTTTAAAGAAAAAAATGGTACACCACTGAGATATTACAAATTAAAAATCATTTTTGAATTCCTCGTTCAATTTGTGACAAATTGCCTTTTCTTCGTATGGGGCGCCGTTTTGATGCAAAAAAATAAAACATTTTAACGCGTATTTTTTATTTCTTTAATACATTACCTAGTAGGCTACTGTCAACATTTGTCTGTTAAATACGAATATTTTTAAGAAATGTCAAATTAGCGTTTCGTCATTATTAATTTATTAAGCTTTTAGTTTGCTATAACATTAGTGTTAATAAGTAATTAATTTTTCTTTTATCGAAAAGAATGGAAAATTTTACAAATGCGGAATTGTCAGACATGCATTTTGTCTATGGTCGAAGTAATGGAAATGGTCGGCAAGCTCGACGATTGTATGCTGAGTTGTATCCAGGACGTAGGGTACCTCATCACACAATATTTGCTCGTCTTCATCAACGTTTGCGCGAAAATGGTTCATTTAAGAAACAAACCGTTGACTGTAGGCGCCCTCGAGAAGTACGAACTGTGCAACTAGAAGAAGCAGTTCTCGAGTTAAATGCGGAGTCACCTGAAACAAGTACTCGAAAAATTGCCAACATATTGAATGTAAACAACTTCACTGTATTTAAAATTCTTAAAGAACAGCAATAATTGTATCCGTTTCATATTGAACGTGTGCAAGCTCTACTACCTAAAGACTTTTTTCCGCGCCTATTTTTTTGCCAATGGATTAATCATCAAATCGCTGAAATTCCTAATTTTTTAAATGCCGTTTTGTTTACTGACGAGGCTACTTTTGGGCGACAGTGTATATGAAATTTCCATAACAATCACTTATGGAATCATTTAATCGGTCCATATTTCCTCCCACAAAGACTAACAAGCGAATCTTATCTTAATTTCCTACAGGAAGAGTTACCTGTTCTTCTTGAAGAAATTCCTCTACAGCTGAGACAACACCTATGGTACATGCATGATGGTGCACAAGCCCATTTTAGCATTAATGTACGTAATCACTTAGACACACCACACAAGCAAACTGCCATTATTTTCTCATGTAGAATCAGCCCCTGAAATTTGTCGCACTTATTTACTAACACCCTGTATAGTGTATGAGTGAGGTTATGTATCATTACTTACACAAGCGGTACATAGGGGGATTGATTCTATTGTTATATATCTCTTCCAAAGAATGATAGTTTATAATTCTTATCAGTTACAGTGTAATTTTCCTTAAATCCCTACTAACAAAATGTGTTCTAGTGTTTTATGTAAAAAATAAACTTACATTCATGATCCTTCCAAAGGAAAGAAAATTGATGAAAAAAATATTTTGATGTGATTTATGAATGATATAAGTAAGTTAATAAGCCTTCAGGAATGATTACAAGCCACGTGACCACCGAGCTTAGGCAACCAACATTACAGGACTGGTACTGTCAACTAAAAATCCCTAAATCATAGCGTCACCGATATTAATAATTCGTTTACAATGAACAATGACAAACCTTTACGTCTACGCTCGAGATAATGTGATCGCTAATTTGTTGAATAAAATCTCGTTAAAAATTACCCCAATCCCAGCCGGTCAAAGAGAAGGTTGTGTTTTAATGTAAACTTGATCTTACTGTTTTAGTTATTTTACCGAAGTTTTATTGTTAACGTGAAGGAAATAAAATTACTGTTCGAAAAAAAAAAAAATATTGGTCACGTGGCTTGTAATCATTTATGAAGGTTGTATATATTGTTATGAAAATTTACACAATTGTAGCACAAATAGGTAATGACATGAGATGTTTGCCATATGTTCAGATGTTGCCTTAAAATAAAATAATGTAGCAGAAGACTTGACCTGTATTTTTTAATCTTTGAATATATCTATCGTTATTTAACTGTCAAAAAAAGTGGAACGAATTTGGCGGACAGCTATAACGTGCTAGATTATACCTTAATTGCGCCGTTTGTTAATAGGAAGCTCAATCGCTCTATCTCACACCGTTGCCCTTTTATTTAATAATAGCGAGACACAAATAAGGAGTTGTGATTATTTTTATAATTGTGAAAGTATTATCTATTTGTAGGTTTCGTCATTTTCAAATAATATTGTTTGAAATTTTAACAGTTTGTAGTTGTTTGTGTTTATTGCTACAGTTGCGTGAATATTTATGACAATGTTTTCTCCGCGTAAATTAATTGGCCATCCAAAATAGGTCACATTCCTTCCTATTCCAGAATTAATATCAAGAACCTAAAGAATACGGTAGTCATAAATATTTACAAATAATTGATAAATATATTGAATATACAGAACAAATAAAATAATAATAATACATATTTAGGATTCAAATCAGTTGGTATCTGATAAGGATTTTGAAACTATTTCTTGAAATTCTCAATATCATTATTTTTCTCTTCTATTTTAATTATAACTGTAGTAATTAATTTTAGATTTTTCGTGCAGCTTAAGGAGTTAAAAATTGATTGGAAATAGGAAATAGGTACAGTACAAAGATTAATTAATACGAAATAGTTTCATGTGACAGTTGGCGGAAGCACCCACAACCCCTTGAAACGGGTCGTTATCATTTCCTTGTTAACTGATAGAAAATTTTGACACCAATATAGAATGACTCCATGGTGTGTGAACTATACCAACCATTTTTTATAGTGGCTACTTCAAATTGGAAGATTATTTTTCACTCGACACGAGTCGTCTTCCTTGCCTAATTTTCAAAGTTCCGCCATTAGCATCTTTCGGAACATTTTTACCTATATTGAAATATTTGATGGGTGATAGTAAATCGTTATAATCTATCCTGAAAAAATGTTAATTCTATGTAAATAAGCAGTGTTTAAAATATTACCAAAATTCCCAGGCTTAGTTAAATCGTTTCTTTATGACATATAACCTATCAGCAGTCGACATTACGGATGAATTTTACAAAATATTGTTTAAATAAATGATGATTTAATTAAAATATTTCTTCTTTGTTTATTATAAGAGTAATTAAATGAATTGTGATACTCAAACAACTTATGTATATGTATGTAAACACCATAAGTTGTTTTTTTGCGTATTGGTGAGTTGGCACCATTTTAATAAGCACATGGAAATTTTCCAGTGTATGTTTCCGGTAAAACATACTGAACAATTTCCTACAACTGGATATGCAAATGAAGTTTTGAAACGTTTCTTCCATTTCATCATCTTCACACAATGAAAATCACAAACCTAAGCTAAAAAAATATACATATATTTGAAACACAATAGTTCCCACAGGAGATCTTCAACTCATGTTTTGTGTTCTCTGTTTTTAACGGTAAATATTTATTTATCAAATTATTAGATATTGTATATTGATGTTGGTTAACTATACACAGTAGTTTTTTTATTAAACACGTCGTGGTTTTTCCTATTTCCACCACAAAAATTGTTTTAACGGTGTTGTTATCAGTACATTTTATGTAGTTACTTGCGTCTTGGTTAGATATCAATGAATTTTGATGATCTAGTGATATCATAGCGGTTTTCTTTAGAAAGTGACAGGCCTTCGTACGAAATGACGATACAAAAATTGCCTTTTGCAGTTTATATACCTATTTTTAAATAAAAAACTCAATGTAGCTATTAACAATAATATGATAAAATATGATACTGATGTAAGTAGTATAATTTCAGTTTGTTAGCGAGAAGTTATAAAAACGTCTTAACTATGATTGGTCAGTATAAAGGAATTTTATGTACACTCGGACAATAATAGGAAAATATGATCACTAGATGGACATGTGCTACCCTTGCAATAGTTAATTAAAATTAGTAAATAAATAAGTATATTAATTGGGCAATAAAGCAGTGAATTTCCAATTAGTTTAATGATGAATAAGTTTATTGATAAAAGTTATCAATTAGCT